CAGGGTGCCGTCGGCCAGACAGTGCCGGCTGGCAACCCCAAGGGGGAGGGCCTTCTCTGTGGGAGCTCCCACCCTCTGGAATGAACTGCCCCCAGAGATCAGGGTCATCCCTGATCTCCCTTCCTTCCGCCGCGCCCTTAAGACTTGGTTATTCCAGCTTGCAGGACTGGCCTAGGGTAATTTTTAGAGGGGTTTTAATCATATTTTAATTGGACTACGTTTAAATATTTCTTTTTAATTAATTTTAATTCTGTAACTGTTATTTATGTATTTTTAATCGATTGTCAGCCGCCCTGAGTCCGCAAGGAGAAGGGCGGGATATAAATCTAATTTAATAATAATAATAATAATAATTCCAGTCCAGTCAAGTCCAGTCTAGTCTAGTCTAGTCTAGTCTAGTCTAGTCTAGTCTAGTCTAGTCTAGTCTTGTCTATTCCCATCCCGTTCTCTACTCTACTCTACTCTACTCTACTCTACTCTACTCTACTCTACTCTACTCTACTCTACTCTACTCTACTCTACTCTACTCTACTCTACTCTACTCTACTCTACTCTATTCTATTCCAACTCTGTTTTTCTGTCATTCTCTTAAGAAAACCATTTTCTTCTTTTTTTAATGGCAATTTTTCCTCAGGCCCTCTTGACAACTATTATCTGGAACTGAGCCACAAATACAGGAGCCCTCGGAAGTGTGTTGCTTTGGGCTGGGAAAAAGGATGGAGAGGAGATCACAGCATGCTTGAAGACGCGAAGGACACAACTCCACCTTTCCCAGAAGGTAATGTCCTTCTTCGATACGGCAGATAGTCAAGATCATGGCAATAACTCTTACAACAGGCCCAAACAGGCCCCCCAACCCACCCAGTGGATTGATGGGTTGTGGAGATTCCTGTAGGATGAAAAAACATGGTGGCAGCTGTTTAAAAATATGTCTTTGAAGAAAAACTCCATTTCTTTTTTTGCTAGTTCTATAAATTCTTTCTTTTAATATAGATTGGTTCAACGTCCATCTTGATTTTTTTTGTATTCCTCTCCACATCACTTTTAAAGGATTATGGTCTGCCCATGTACCTGGTTCTATCTCAATTTCCTGCATTGTTATCCTCAGTTCAGATGTCATTCAAATCATATCGATTCTGGACCAGGATTTTTTGACTGTCTGAATAAAATGTACATTGTAATTTTCCTGGATTAATGTCCCTCCAAATATCTTGTACTCCAATTTCTTCTATCATATTTTAAAAAATTCTTCTATCATATTAGGTAATATTCTTCCAGTTTTTCCTGTTTTACTACTTTTATAGTCTAATGTCCCATCCACTATCGCATTAAAGTCTCCTACTAAACAGATACTTTGGCACTCCGTTTCTATTATGTTTCTGTGGAGATTTTGATAGAATTCTTCCTGGTTATTATTTGGTGCGTAGATTACTACTAACAATGCTTGTTTTTGATGTAAGTATATTTCTACTATCACAATTCTTCTTTCTTCATCTGAATAAATCATTTTAGAATCTGTGGACCTGTGTTAAAGCAAACAAAAAAATTGGACAAAAATACATACTTGGCTAGAAAAGATGTTGGGAAAACATGTAGATTTTAAACCTGAACCTTTCTTATTAGGTATAATACCAGAAAAATCTGATAAGCAAAGTGTATATTTAACATTGCATGTACTAACTGCAGTGAGGTGTGTGTTTGGTCAGCACTGGAAGAATGAAGAAAAACCACTAGACAAAGAGATAATCAAGAAAATATTGGACAGACTTATATTGAGGATCAAAGAGAAAGAAGATACAGGATATTTTCAAACCTGGAATTTATTTATTTTTTAAATACCGTACGTTTTACGAATTTTTTTTACATAATCACCTTAATATTTGGTAAACATTGTGTTGTCTGGCTTTATATTTAAAAAAACAATCAATAACAATTCGTTTCTATAACTCTATAGTCCACATAATAGCTTTGCTTGATATTCTCTTCTTTCAACTATGTTCTCTTTTGCCAACTTTGAATTAATACAATTTTTATTATTTGGATAAATAACAATGAAATATAGACATTTATTTCTAATATTTCTGCAAATAATAAGCACATCGATATAAAGCTTCTTTTCTAACTGATCGTCTTGATTGCCTTATCATAGATCCTGTTTAACGTTCTTATTGAAATTTGTTTTCCCCCACAATGTTCAACACATTCTTACTTTGTTTTATCCATGGTTGGGAAAAAAGGGGTAAGAATGTAACTTGCATTATTAAGCAAACAAATTAACCCAGACCACATGGTGTTTATTAAGCGCTGATCAGATGTAATAATAGAAAATTAATAAAATGCTTTGAAAAGAAAAAAAAGAAAGAAAACAGGATGGCAGCAGAAGCAGGAGTAGAAACCAGCTCGCTGGCTTACTAATGTGTTGTATCTTACTCTTTTAGTATCCAAACACAAGAAGGAGATAGCCTTCAAAATTGGACGCAGGTTATTTGAGGCGGCTGTTCAAAACCTATCACGAGCGGATGGTCTGCTTTATATCAATGCCTCCATTTTGGCCCTGAGGGATTCCAGCAGTTATGGATATTCCAGAGCTTCTTACGTTCTTGGTGTCATCTTCGAAGTTGGGCTAGGTGTATCTCCAGACCCAGTTCAGGTAAGATCTTGGGATACTCGCATTTCTACTACAGGGTTTAGAAACCTCTGAGGGGGTCCATGACTTTCATCAGCCTCCCTGAGGCACCTGTCCTGATGTGGTTTGCATCTGGCTGGCTGGGGAATTCTGGGAGTTGAAGTCCACCCATCTTAAAGTTGACTTAAGGTTGAGAAGCCCTTGCTACAAGTCTAGGTATAGCTGTAGTACAGATAGAGGTGGTCCTTGGCTTATGACCACAATCGAGGCCCAGAAATTTCAGTTGTTAAGGGAGGCATTCGTTAAGGGAGTTTTGCCCTGTTTTACGGCCATTTTTGTCACCGTTGTTAAGAGAATCACCTCAGTGGTTAAGTTAGCCACTTGGCTGTGAAGTCAATCAGGCTTGCCCAGTGACTTTGCTTGTCAGAAGGTCTTACCTCCATGTCTGAGGTATATATAATATAATATTATTATAATATTATATTTTATTATTATTATTATTATTATTATTATTATTAATAATAAAGTTGGAAGGGATCTTGGAGGTCATCTAGTGCAACCCCTTGCTCAGGCAGGAATAATAATAATAATATAATATAATAGCAATAGTAATAGTTGTAATAATAATAATAATAATGAGGAGGAGGATGAGGATGAGGATGAGGATGAGGAGGAGGAGGGGACCTTGGAGGTCATCTAGTCCAACCCCCTGCTCAGGCAGGAAACCCTATACCATTTCAGACAAATGGCTGTCCAGTCTCTTCTTAAAAACCTCCAGTGTTGGAGCATTCACTGCTTCTGGAGGCAGGTAGTTCCACTGGTTAATTGTTCTGACTGTCAGGAAGTTTCTCCTTAGTTCTAGGTTGCTTCTCTCCTTGATCAGTTTCCACCCGTTGCTTCTCGTCCTGCCTTCAGGCGCCTTGGAGAATAGCTTGACTCCCTCTTCTTTGTGGCAGCCCCTGAGATACTGGAAGGCTGCTATCATGTCCCCCCTCGTCCTTCTCTTCATTAAACTAGACATGCCCAATTCCAGCAGCCTTTCCTTATATATGTTTTAGCCTCCAGTCCCCTGATTATCTTTCTTGCTCTTCTCTGCACTCTTTCTAGAGTCTCAGCATCTTTTTTTTACACGGTGGTGACCAAAACTACAACAATACAAAGCTATAATACTATAAAACTACAATAATATGATGTTACCTTTCTGGATTTACCTTCCAAACGGTTCGTCCTTTCCAGGGATTGCTGTACAACTTGGTTGCAGCTCAAGAAGCGGATCGTCTTGCTCTGCTGAGCCTGGGCTACAAGCACTATCAAGGGATGAGTAATTACCCCCAGGATCTTGAGGTCTCCTACGCTTACTATAGCGACGTGGCTCTAAAGACGCCCCGGGATCAACAGAACGCAGCAGGAGATCAGGTAAATACGAGGACGGTCTCTGGCAGACCTTTTCTCCTGGTTGTTAAAAGGGAATAATGGCTGTTTTAATAATGGCTAAAAGGCTATGAATTTGATGTTGAATCTTATAACAGCTGCAAGATTATTGGTAGCCCAATTTTGGAAGAAGGACTCTTTGCCCACTATAGAAGAATGGACGCTTAAAGTGTCAAATTTAGCAGAAATGGCTAAAATTTCCGCTTATTTGAAGGATCAATCACAAGAAAGATACATCTCGGTCTGGAGAAGATGGATAGATTATATTCAGAATAAATATGGGACTAANAAGGGAGGAAAAAGGGAGGGAGGGAGGAAGGAAGGAAGGAAGGAAGGAAGGAAGGAAGGAAGAAAAAGAGAGAGGGAGGGAGGGAGGAAAGAAGGAAGGAAGGAAGGGAGGAAAAAGGGAGGGGAGAGGAAGAAAGGAAGGAAAGAAGGAAAGAAGGAAGAAAAAGAGGGAGGGAGGGAGGAAGGAAGGGAGGGAGGGAGGGAAGAAAAAGGGAGGGGGGAGGAAGAAAGGAAGGAAGGAAAGAAGGAAGGAAAAGAGGGAGGGAGGAAGGAAGGAAGGAAGGGAGGAAAAAGGGAGGAGGGAGGAAGAAAGGAAGGAAGGAAAAGAGGGAGGGAAGTGAGTTTTGCCCCATTTTACGACCTTTCTGGCCCCCGTTGTTAATTGAACCACTGCGGTTCTTAAGTTAGCAACACCGTGGTGAAGCCAATCTGGTTTCCCCGTTGACTTGACGTGTCAGAAGGCCATAAAAGGGGATCACGTCACCTCAGGAGACCGCAACGGTCGTAAACACGAACCGGTTGCCAAGCGTCTGAATTTTGATTGCGTGACCTTTGGGGAGGCCGCAGTAATCATACGTGTGAAAAATAAGTCGCTTCGAACGGTCACTAAGCAAAGTTAGTTGTAAGTCAAGGGCTAACTAGGCATCTTCCCTTGTAAACAGAACGTTCCAATTTTTGATAAGGGGCTTCTATCGCTTTCCTATATGAAAAAAAAGAGGCTGAAGACATTTGCAAATTATATATATATATATATATATATATATATATATTTTTCTCCTCGTTTAGGGTCAAGGGGTGAAAAGAAACAAACGCCTTGCTTTGCGTCTGATGAAAAAAGCCGCTTCAAAGGTAGAATCTAATTGCAAGATCTGTTGATTGTTCTATCAGAGATTGTTGTTGTTAATTGCGAAGTCGTGTCCGACCCATCGCGACCCCATGGACAACGTTCCTCCAGGCCTTCCTGTCCTCTACCATCTTCTAGAGTCCATTGAAGCTCACGCCTGCTGCTTCAGTGACTCCATCCAGCCACCTCGTTCTCTGTCGTCCCCTTCTTCTCTTGCCCTCCATCTTTCCCAGCATGAGACTCTTCTCCAGGGAGTCCTTCCTTCTCATTAGGGGGCCAAAGTACTTGAGTTTCAGCTTCAGGATCTGGCCTTCTAAAGAGCAGTCGGGGTTGATCTCCTCTAGGACTGACTGGTTGGATCGCCTTGCAGTCCAGGAGACTCGCAGGAGTCTTCTCCAGCATCATAGCTCAAAGGCCTCCATTCTTTGGCGCTCAGCCTTTCCTATGGTCCAACTTCCATCCTCCAGAGATTGGTAAAATGAAGACTCAGACCCAATTTCTGCAAGTGTTCTTCATACGCCATTAATATTTATATGTATTTATATGTAAGGGCGTAAGTATATACATATGTTGCATATAGCATGTTTACATGTGTGTTATGTATGTGTACACTTTTGAGAGCAGGCAACAGAATTTCCTTTTTAATGTGTGCCCACAGTAAAAAAAAATGATAATAAAGATTATCTATCTATCGTGTTTTAGTCTCCGGGCCTTTAATCATCTTAGTTGCTCTTCTCTGCACTTTTTACAAAGTCTCAACATCTTTTTTTTTTTGTAATGTGGTGACCAAAACTGGATGCAGTATATTCCAGGTGTGGCCTTACTAAGATTTTATAAAGCGGTACTAATATTTTATGTGATTTTGATTCTATGCCTCTGTTTCTACAACCAAGGATTGTGTTAGCTTTTTTGGCTGCTGCCGCACATGGCTGGCTCGTGTTTAGGTGATTGTCCACTAGGACCTCAAGGTCCCTCTCACGGTTGCTGTTTTTGAGCCAGGTTTCACCTAATCTGTACTCCTAGCCAGGGCTTTTTTTCAGCCGGAACGCGGCGGAACCGCGTTCCGGCACCTTTTTCCGGGCCGGCCGCACCGGGCGCAACATCTGGGGGGGCGCGCTCGCACTCGCAGCTCTCTGCCCCTGCCTGGCTCACAACCGCGGCCATAGGGAGGCTCGGTCGGCGCGCCCCTGGCCCGTTTCCTAGGCGACCCTGCCCGAGC